TTATTTCTTTTAAATGTTCTTCAAATAACAGCGCCTTTTCTGGATTATTTATTCTCACTGGCCTTAATCTCATATGTGGCACTTCCATATTACCTGTCCTCACCTCGTATTCCACTAAATTGGTTCGACCCAATTCTGACAATTTGAAGGCGAACGTTTTTGATACCTCATTTATCAACCGGCTCATTATATACTGCTTTTCTTCTGTCGAGAGATCAGGCCCAAAATTCAATAAATGGCTATTTTCCTACATTAATCTTCGTAAGAACGTTGGCTTTGTCAATTCGAGTTGTCCTTCGACTTTTCATAACTACAAATCACGTGCTTCATCCCAATTTCCATGGTCTCCTTTTTCTTCGTTCTTTACCAGCGCTTGCCGGTCATGATCGATTATTTGGAACCTTCTTACAGCTGTTACTTGATTTATCTCATCATCCTCGTCATCATAGTTGTTTGATTCATCATCTTTATCTTCATTCTTTTCAACCCATTTCTGCAGCACAACCGAAACAATGAACGATGATTGCCTATCCGATGATGAAATCGAGCACCAGTATTCGTTATTTTTCCAGTAAAGATTACATTGCGCAGAGGCCAGAAAAAGGCATTCCTAAGAGGACATCAAAACTTGCAGACTCCACTATGTAAAATCCTTGGTTCGTTACCACGCCTTCCATTTCCACCTTGACTTGAGGTATGTAGCCTATGAATTCACTTATTCTATTGTTGGCCATTCTTCCTTTTCTGTAAGCACATTCCCATGTCAACCCTCTTTTCTTTGCATAATTTATGTGCATCAGATTCAGACGAGATCCAGGGTCAATTGGTACATCAACAAGATCTTCATTTATTAATGCAGGCCAAACAGGTACTATTTCACTCATAGTTTCTCGCATTTTATTACTCTTAACTAACCGCAATCTTACATCAACGTTAGTTACATCAATTTCCTTCTTTTTGCGTGTTAATGCTTTCATTATCTCACTTCTCGCCTTGGGCGACCATTTAAATAATTGCCCAAGTGAAATGGTAAGTTTAAGATCAGCCACGGCCTTAATAATGTCAAGGTTTTCTGCCATATCAGCTATTGGTATATACATCGTTGATTCCTTAACCCTTTTGTTTTGGCTAGATGATACTGCTGGTTCACTTTGCTTTGGCTCTAACGTTTTACGGGTCCTTCCTCTTTTGTTTGCTACATCACTACCTACATCGTCTTGCTTCATTTTTCCTAAATTCCTAACCTCAGCTAGATCCATATTCTCATCGTTTACCAATTTATTCATCAGATAGTCACTTTCATTATTCAGCGCTTCATTGGTGAGATCCACATGACGTACATCAGGTCCTTTTTGATTATCATTCTCTTTGTTCACAATTCGATTTCTTGCAGTCTTTTCGGGACAATCACATGACATGTGACCATCTTTTTGACACGTGTAATACCGTCAAGATACAGTATTCTGTTCGTTGTTTTGTTGGCCACTTTTATTTGTAAAATCTTTCATTACTTTTGTTAATTCCTTCATTGTATCCTTAATTTCTTGTATATCATTATCAGGTTTTTTCTCAACCTGTGATATTTTTAAAGCTTCCATAGCACTCGTTAATTCATCAACGCCAAATTTAGTGTTACTATATGCTCCCTCAATCAAAGTCTTGTTCGCCTTTTGTATATTGAAATCATTATTTTTATTATACCTTTCAATTTTCACAGCCAAATTCTTTGCTTCATTGTAATCGGCTGGATAATGTTCTTCTACTTTCGTGTGATATTCCGGTTTTAATCCATCTATAAACCATTTTCTCTTCTCTCTATCTCGCACTTCATTCTTAAGCATATGAGCATAGGATTCGAATCTATTAGAATACCCGATTATTGACTCATTTTCATCTTGTCTAATTCTTATTAACCTTGCAATTTTCTCTTCAGTGTGGTACTTCGTCTTTGCAGATTTTTCTATATTGGCTTTCAAATCGGCCCAAGAATTAGAAGACTTCATCAATTCACGCACCCACACTCTTACCCTTTCTGAGACGTGAAGACCGACCACCTTCTGTTTTCTATCATCATTCCAGTCCTTCGATTCTGCATACATTTCAAAGTCAAAAAGAAAATCTTCGATGTCCTTATTCTCTCGTTCATGATAGAACGGTTTGGTAGAATCTTGTTTGACATTGTTGATTACTTCCTCAAAAGGTTTGTATTCTCTTTATATTTGTTGTACAATATGTACGTGGTCATAACTTTATTGTTTGCGTTATTAATCTGGGTTTATATCTTGTATTACAATATTTTTTTGACTTCTCTTACTTCGTCGACTATCTACGCACGTCCACTCTTGATTTTATTATTGAGCGTTCCTTGTATGTATTATTGTAGTTATATATTATAGCGTTTTGCTTTTTTTTTTTTTTTTTTTTTTTCAATACAGTACGAATTCGGGCTTTGCTCCTTTTATTTAATCTTCTACGTTCGATTATCTGTTCATTTGTAGTACAGTTTACTATTTGCTTGCGTTAGTTTGTTGTCTCTTTGTTTCTTAGAATGATTTCCACTATTGTTGCTATGGTAAGTTCTTCTTTTTATTATTGTTGTGGTAGTTCTTTTCTTCGTTTCGTAGTTTCGTTAAAAATTTTTTTTTTCTTAAACTTGGCTTGTCGTTGCGAGAGCACTTTTGGTTGCCCAGGTTCTTCTCTATTACATAGTTAGACAGTAACCGTGGTCACTGTTATCTTGCTCAAACGGTACTTCAACTTTAGGTCTCCTTGGCTTCAACACACCTTCTAACCAACACTTTTCAGATAAGGATAACACACACTTTATTACGTTGTTCACATTAACCGGTCAAAAGACTGACCTTCACTTTTTATTTATTTCTTCTATTTCTATTAATTTTCTATTATACTACTTTGTACAACTCTGATTATTAATATACTATAACTCACTTCCTTATACTTAGTGTTTGAAAAAGTCAGCACGGATCGGATTCAGATTTGTGCGGATCCAAACCGTCAGATTAGGTTTGGCCCCTGAAACGTCGGATTAGGCCCAGATTGAGCAGGATTGGGTCTAATTTTAGGTCATGTCTTTATATAATCACTCTATGTGATAAATTCGAATTTATCACGTGACAAATTCGAATGTATCACATATATTGTCGCAATGTAAGTGATAAATTCGAATTTGTCACGTGATAAATTCGAATTTATCACTTACATTATGACAAATATATATGACAAACCGTCGGATTGGCACGGATCACTCCCGGATTCAATCCAAATTACAGATTTCGGATTGGATTCAGATCAATCCCGGATTAACCGGGATTTTTAATCCGTTTTCAAACACTACTTATACTTTTTATTGCATTTCAACAAACTCTTAAATTTTACTAATTTAATCGTCATTGATTCGTGATCGATGATCACATTACTTCACATACCCGATCTTCATAATACCGCCCAACATTATCATGTCGATCATAATTTTGATCAATCCCATCGTCACGTAATTTGTTCGTTACATCTTTCACTCAACCATTTCAATTCTTATTAACCGCTTTATTACAAGCTTCGTTATTGATTAATATTCCTCGTACTAAATACAAGGGTTCCCCAAAAACTATGCGACAATTATGCTATACATATTTATTATATTGGTATTATATCGTATAATCAAGACAAAAATTATTTATTAATTAGTCTGTAAAATATTGGCTAACGATTAATCTAATCACCAAACTATCGTTAAAAAA